TCCCTACAAAATGACAAAGAAGCAGCTCTCAGAAGGCACACTTCCTGTCTCCGCCTTTTCTTTCCTTGGCGACCTGACCTCACGCATCTCCCCGCCTGCGCTGTGCAGCCTTTCCACAGGGTGAGGCCAGAGCCTTCTTCTGCCTCGGTATTGGGTGCCCTGGCCTGACCTCAGGTCAGTGAGTATTGACCGATTGAGCAACTCTTCCTAATCTAAAGAACCCTATGGAAACCTTTCTGGAGTCTAATCACAGTGTTTACAGACTCCTAGGACCTGGCCTTTAACCTAAGGGATTATACCTCCGAGCTAAAAGAAGACAGAATGTGAGGGCAGGTGGCAGATTGGGGTTCACCCAACCAGGTCTCTTCTAAGCAGAGCTGCTGCCTCCCCCTTGCTGTTCCCTTGTGGGTATTGCTTGTCAGGACCACATCACCTGTGATTCCCTGATGACGGCATCCACGGGAATGTCCTTTTTCCCTATGAAATAAGGGCTCACGGGTATTGATTGGAAAAAATGCAAACGCCAGAACGTGAAATGGCAAGGAAAGCAACACTGTCTGCTTCCCTTTAGAGGAAAATAATGCTCTCTCTCACCTGGAGCTCACAGTTTCCACTTCATACCAAGGAGATGCTTCAAAGCTCAAGCTAGTGAGTCTAAAAGGAGTGTCCCCAATAGACTGTGCCTGGCCGTGCACACGTTCTCCTAAATTGGAAGTCTGAGTTGGTTTATTAATTGAAAGTAAGAAGGAGGAACATTAACTGGCAGAATTCTTTATTCTCCTATTTTAAACAGAGGCTGCTATCATGCTGAAGTTATGTGAACCGAAATGAGGTATTTTAAGAAAGTTCAGGGTAGGAATAATGGGATGAACTACATGAAACCTAACATCTTCTGAAGCGACATGGAGAATAATATTGTGACATCCCTTAAAAGCTGAACGTCCCCCAGACTTCCTTCTGTCCATCCCTCCATCCTTCCTGTTTTGTTTTTTTCCCTTTTGCATGGGCTATGTTACTCTTTTTGGTTGTTGTGATTAAAAGTATTTTCAGGCATCTTTTTACATCTCGTATACATATTTTTTGTTTAAGTCATATTCAGCCTTTATTTATGAAAAACGGTGTACTGGCCAGATGTATAAATGCCTTTGCTCACACATAAGCTGGTGCTGTGCTGTTCTAGAAGGGGCCGGGGAGGGGAGCGGTCAGGGGGCCCCAGTGCTCCCCAGTCACGCTTTCTTCATGCTAAAGGGGTATTGCCTCTTAGACAGATAATGTTATGAACTTAGAAGGGGTTGAAATCTTGAATTCTGTTCAGGTTTTTGATTCCGCTTCCTGCCAGTGTATACACGGAGTCTTAGCTGTAAACGTGTTGAAGCTCACATTTCTTTTTGTTTGATGGCCAGAGCCAGTCTTTGAGTTGGTGTGTGTTTTTGTGAGCCCTCCAAGTGCATTTGGGGTGTCTGTGTTCTTTCATTCATCAGAAGAGAAGAATGGGTTCTACCTGGGCCAGCTTTGCAACCTGGAGGTTGCAGGAGAGTGAATTCATCTCGCAGGGTGAATGAATTCAGATCTTGTACTCTCGCAGGACCCATCCGGCCATAGAAAACACTCGGGTCATTACAGCCTCCAGCCAGTAGAGGTCTGGCTACTCCAAGTGAGGGCTGTTCAAATCTTGTCTTGTACATGTGCTCAAACCTTAAAAAAAAAAAAAAAAAAAGTGTGTGTGTTGAGGGGGAGGTTGGTAAACATTATTTGTTTTTTTAAGTTACAGGGAAGTTTCCTCTCAACAGAATGCACAGGACTGGCTGGGTTGCCCTTGGCCAGGGTTCCCACCAGTGGGTGACTGGTTTCAGTTATTTCTCTTTGGAAGAAGAGAAAGATCGGTCTTCTTTAGTCCTTAATAATGAATGTTGTTGAATGCTTACTTATATACAGCCAAGGATTCTTTTACTGTCCTTGGCAATTCTCAGTATAGCTCAGGACTGTCTGGAGATTAAATTAGACCAACTCATCCGATTTTTTCTTGAATACTTTCTTGGAGCAAGTGAGGATTTATTCTTTTTGAGGGAAGGTAATGGTTTTTGTTCTTAGGATCTTCTGTCTGTTTCAGTGTAATTTTCAAACATCTAAAGGTCACTTGTTGATACATTGCATTACACCAGAAGGCTGCTGAGGATTTTTGCTTTACTTTGTGTTTTGCTATGCTAAATGTCTGAAAGGACAACAGTTGACGTCACTTTTCTGTAAGGGACAAATATTTCTTGCTTTTTGGAGTGCTTTTAGATATTCATCTGGAAGTGTGACTCACCTTTATAAGATATGCTTTTACTGTAAAACTCCCACTATCCGCATCTAGAAGAATTTGGTTATTCAAGCAAATTCCTGGATTAGATGGCGTGAAAGGCTTTCAGGAGTCCGTTGGTGGATCTGACTTTGAGGCATTTTCTACTCTGGGGTTTTATTTCATAGGTTTCTGGTACTGGTGAGCATAACCCAGCTTTCTGAGGTCATGCACTTTGCTCCTTTAAAATTTGTATGTAATAACTAGCTTTCTTTTCATTTATTTGTACATTTGAGACCAGTAACAACCAAACTGCTTTTTTTCCATCTTCAAGATACGAAAGTTATTTTTCCACGTCCATTACTACCTCGCGCATCGTCACCAGGTGTCACTCTTTGAGTTCCTGCATTCTCGTGGTTCTTGTTGTCTCCCACTGGCTCTTATTGAGTGCTGATGTCATGTGTTTGGGACCAGATCTGACAAGGAAGCTGTACGATTCAATTGTCCAGTGGTGGTACTCTTAACAAAAGACGTCTTCCTTATCATTCCAAATCACCTAAAGAAACTATAATTATGTCTTACTCCGTAAATGATGAGAAGTCATTTTTACCCATACCTCAATTTTATGCATGTGCCTTAATTTAAGAAATGAAATATTTTTGCTCTTCAGCATGCTGGACTATGATACCGAGAACCTGAACTCTGAAGAAATCTATAGTTCTTTGCGTGGAGTGACAGAAGCCATCGAAAAGTTTAGTTTTCGAAGCCAGGAGGATCTGAATGAGCCCATTAAAAGAGACGGCAGGAAGGACTGTGATGTCGTGAGTACCCGCAGGCTAACAGGGCCACTCATCAGTGAGGGGGCGGTCACCACCCAGGCCGGTAGAGAGCTGTGTGTCCCTTAAGGGATAGTCCTGAACGCTGACCGCGGGGATTACTGAACTCCAACGTTATTTTTATCTCGTAGTTAGAATGGTATGATTTTAAGAGGCCCAAGGCAACTTTACGAAATTGCAGCAGCCCTCAGCTATCTTGGTGAAGAATGTTAAATGCCCTTTTTCTCAGCTGGCTTCCATTTATCCTGGACACGTTTTTGTTCCTCTGATAATGATAAAAACAGTGAGCCTGCGCCCGACGCCAGCGTGGCTCTCCGGGAGCTGCAGCCTCCTGCAGAGGGGCAGAGTGGCGCAGGACAGATCTGCAGAGGAGGCGATGTCACCCTCTGAGCACGGAGGCCACGGGGTCACGAGGCACTTGTCGGGTCAAGTAGGAGGTTGTCGTCTGAGAGGGACCTGTGAGAAGGCAGAGGGAGGGGAGTGGGCATGGCGGGAGAGAGAGGGTGAGCGTGCCCTGGTGTTGGGGGGGCCCTGGGAAGAGAAGGGCGCTCACACCAGGGGGTGCACAGCCATCGTCCAGACTACTCTGGGGTCCCTGAAGAATCTGAAGGATTTTTAACCAGGGAAGTGGCATGGTCCCACGCACGTCTGAGGAGGGTCACTGTCACTCTGCAATGGGGAGTGACCCCGGAGGGATCTGGGTCGGATAGCGCATGAGCAGAAGTGGGAGAGCCGGGGTGTCCGGCAGGGACTGTTAAGGAAGTGCTGCTGCACCGCAGTGAGGCGATGTCACGGGGAGAAGAGGCGATGTGGACCCCTATGGAGCACAGTGAGACACCCAAGCAGACGCAGCCATGGGCCTTCGGGTACGCAGCCTGGAGTTGAGGCTGGCGATTTGGGCTGCAGGTGGAGGTTTGAGAGACACTGACTAGATGCTTGATGGTAACTAAAGTAAAGTAAGTGAAATCAGCCAAGTGGAGGAGGGTAAGGGCCGAATCCTCAGGAGTATCACCACTAAGGGAAAGACAGAAGAAGCGGGCTCAAGAAGGAGAACAGAGGAGCATATGGCATCCTGGAATTTGAGGGGGGCTTTCGGGAAGGACGTTCCAGCCAAAGGGATCTCGAGTCAGACGTGGACTGAAAGGGCCCCACTGGATCTTTTTTTTACTGTCTGCATTAAATAGTCTATTATAATCTAGAATATTTAAACCACACAGTTACTCACCAGTGTTTGGATGTAGGGCCAAGACCTTTTCTTTGAGATTGGGCCCCCGTCTGGACTTCCATCTTCTTTTTCTTAAATAGCTTTCAGACCTAATCACAGTCTGCGGTTTCCAGGGTTAGTTTCTCGGGGAGCCCATTGGGTGTTGTGAGCAGAGCTGAGAGCAGAGCTGGGAGTGGACACGAGGTCACAGTGGGCCAAGGGCCGACTTGAGCACAGGCTGGAGCAAGGAGGGGCCGATGGCGGGTGTGCAGTGGGAGAGACCCAGCCCGTGTGGAGAGAAAGGTGTTGGCTCTGCAGTGGGGGCAGTGAACGATTCATGGACACGGGTCCTTAAGGACATGGGGAGGTGGCGAGATGGGGGCCCTGGGGGAGCGGGTTGGCCTTAGCCAGGAAGGAGGGGAGCGGGCCTGTGGGAGCAGGAATTGGAGGGTGTCCACGCTGGCAGCTCTGCTGTCCACGGGCAGCGCTTGTGCTGAGGAGACGGGAAAGGCTTCTGAAGTGCATGTGAGGAACTTGGGGTCAGGTGTGGTTCTCATCAGGGAAACAGAAGTCCTGCCAGGAATAGCAGAGGCCCCAGCAGAAGCTGGATGATGGAGGTATATAGCCAGCATGTAAAGAAAAGAAGGAAGAAACAACATCTTTAGAGAGAGCCACCATTAACACTTGGGTGTGCATCTTTCTGTTCCCTTAGGTGTACCTGTATATGTCTGTATGTGTAGGGGTGTATGGAGTGTGTTCTTTACGGTAAAGGTGACTCCATAGGGTGCCTCCTGTTTGGTGTAGTCTTTCACGTGCCTTCTTGTGGCTGGATGATAGCTCAGCCTAAGGATATGTGCCACAGTCATGTCCTCGGTGCCCTATTTGGGAACGTTTAAGTTGTTTCCAACTTTTCAAAGTATGAAAAAACACCGTGCCAGATGTTGAAAGGAATGGGGGGAAGGTGGAGAGAGCAGGCCCGTACCAGGATGGGGAAGCGGGGGGCCGGGAGGGGCTGCGGGACTGGCAGGGGGTGGCAGACGGGGCGCTGAAGGCTCTAGGTTCGGAGGGGCGGGGAGGGGAAAAGGAAGAGTTGAGGAAGTCCAAAGTCTGCACCTTCGCCACTCGTCACCAAATGTTAGCTAAGAAGCCGCTGTAAAACTGCACTAAGTGTGGAAGAGTCAGGCACCAGCATCTCTCTGCTCAAGCTTGACCAGCGGGCCCAGTCTGGTCAGATGGAGTCCGTCAGGGCGCAGGTCACATCCAGGGGGAGGGTGGGTCACACAGGCAGAGACGGACACAAACGCGTGCATGTCCAGCCTCTTCCGGGCAGTTACAGAAATCCCACAGGCAGATTCTGAGGTTCCATTTCTTTGTTACAAGTAGAAATCAGAGCACTTGATGCCAGAAGGGACATCAGGAACGAGTGTAGTACTGATGGCCTGGAAAATTGATGCGGCTCTTTTGGAGCTTAGTGAAAAGTCATATTCAGCAAAAGCGATTTTAAGTTTCATATCCTTTATCCAAAAATCTAACTTTTGGCAATCTGCGCCGAGTAACAAACTTGACAAAAGGAAAGAAAGACGTTATTTACACAAAGTAGCTTATTTTAGCATTATTTATAATAGCAAGAAACAAAAACATTAAGGAAAACACAGAAGGGGAATCATGCAGTAAATCTTATTAAAACACAAGAAATAGTGGTGTGATTAAACATTATGGCTGCAAAATCTTTATTTACGTGGGACATGCTGATCCTTTGAGGAAGGCAAAATATATGCTGTTCTGTGCACTGTGATTCCCACTCTATAAAATCTGTATGCAGACAGAGACTGGGGTAATATAATATACCGAGTTAAGATAGTACGATTTTGTTGTTAAAAGTGATTAGTATTAGGAGTTTAGTTTTCTTTTTTTCAATAAATTATTTTATTTTATTTATTTTTGGCTGCATCGGGTTTTCGCTGCTGCGCGCGGGCTTTCTCTAGTTGCGGCGAGAGGGGGGCTCCTCCTGATTGCGGTGCACAGGCTTCTTCTCACTGCGGTGGCTTCTCTTGTTGCGGAGCACAGGCTCTAGGTACAAGGGCTTCAGTAGTTGTGGCTCACGGGCCCTAGAGCGCAGGCTCAGTAGTTGTGGCGCACGGGCTTAGTTGCTCCGTGGCATGTGGGGTCTTCCTGGACCAGGGCTCCAACCCACGTCCCCTGCATTGGCAGGCGGATTCTTAACCACTGCGCCACCAGGGAAGCCCTAGCTTTCTTTTTTGAATGTCTGAAGTTTTTAAACCCTTTCTCCTTTTAAAAATAATCTTTTCATTATATTAATCATATATGTTTTACTTTTAGAAGAGAGTTACAAAGAAAAAAATTAAAATTATCCATGAATCATCTTATACCGAGAGAAAGCCTGTTAAGTCTCATTTTGTTCATGTCTGTACACATATTATATATTCTTTTATATCCTAACAGTTATATTAGGACAAAATCTTCTGGGTGGGATGTGTAAGAACCAAACACATCCCAGCAGTTCCACTAGGTGTATATTCCAAAGGAATTGAAAGAAAGGACTTGAACAGATATTTGTGTACCAGTGTTCAGAGCGGTGTTAGGCACAGTAGCCCAAAGGTGGAAGCAGCCCAAGTGTCCATCAACAAATAAATGGATAAACAAAACGTAATATGCACATGCAGTAGAATATTATTCAGCCTTAAAAAGGAATGTAATACTGACACATGTTACAACATGACTGGACCTTTAAAACATTATGCTAAGTGAAATAAGCCAGACACAGAAAGACAAACACTGTGTGATTCCACTTATATGATGTCCCTAGAGCAGTCAAATTCATAGAGACAGAAAGTAGAACAGAGGTTTCCAGGGCTGGAAGGGGCAGGGAGTTATTATTTAATAGGTACAGAGTTTCGGTTGGGGAAGATGAAAAAGTTTTGCCCAAAATGTAACGTAGTGGTAATGGTTACACCACATTGTGAATGTATTTAATGTCACTGGATTATACGCGTATGAATTACATGATTGAATTTTGAACATACATATATAAAACTACAATAAAAACCGCACAAAGGCATAAGCGTGGGTGACAGCGGTGCACCTTGTCAGCAGCACGAGTAAAAAGTGCCACAGGGCTCACCAGGGTGGTCTGGCTGCCTGGAAATGGTTCCCCCACTGTCCTATAGTCACGCGTCTGAGAGGAGGGAAGTGACCGTTTTGCTCTGTCCCCTGCAGTCAGCCACACTTGCTCTGTTCCCTGCAAAGGGAGCCAGACAGGCCAGTGGGCGCAGAAGAAAGGACCTCGGGGAGAGAAGGGGGTCAGAAACATGACACAAGGGCCAGGGGCCCAGAGGTTTAACTAGTTGAAGACAAAACTCAGCGCCTATCAGGAAAAACATTTTCAGACAATGTTAAAGACCTGTTCTTTGACCAGTGTAAAGACCAGTTCTGAGAGGCAGAAATCCCCAAAGGAAAAGCCATCTGCCTGGGGGATGTCATGTTCTCCATAGTGAGACGTTTCACCACTTGAGGGGAATATAGCAGGGGACTCGTGGGTGGTGGGACCACTGTAGGTCTCGAGAGGGTCATCGGGGGAGCATTTGTCCATGGCGTTGTGTCAGGGTGTCAGTGAGAAAACCCAACCTGTCGGTGGTGAAGGCAAGTTGGCTGGGGTGTTGTGGGCACCTGAGGTTCCTGGGGAACTGGGGGTGCCAGGTGTGCAGACTGCCTTCTCAAGGGCTCCTCAGAATTTCATGTCACTGATCTGTCAGAAATGAGTCAAATTAGTCAGCAAATGCAAAGTAAAACAGACATTCCTTGTAAACTAATGAATGAATAGATGACAACATCAGCGTGTTCTGTCCCCTCTGAGGTAGCTTATGAGCTAGGTATTTACAAATGGAGGCACTAACAACCGTCCTTTTGTCAGTGGCCAGACTTCAAGTGAGAAATCTCTGACTCTCCTAATAATTATGAACATTTAAAGGAAAAGTTTGAGACAAGCACTGAAAATGAACTGACAATGTGCTGTGTCCCAGGTGTCCCGCGACAGTGGCATCACCTCCCCCGCCACTGAGGGCCGGGGCGGCAGCGACGCAGTGGAAGGAGGCCGGACGGCTCTGGACAATAAGACCTCCCTCCTCAACACCCAGCCCCCGCGCGCCTTCCCGGGGCCACGGGCGCGGGACTACAGCCCCTACCCCTACTCGGACACCATCAGCACCTATGACAAGACGGCCCTGAAGGAGGCCATGTTCGATGACGACATGGAGCAGCTACGAGACGGTCTGTCTCTCCCGGTGCCACTCTCCCCCCACCCCCCAACCAGGGCAGCTCCGGGCACGCGAGGGTGGACTGGGGGCCTGCTCTGCTCAGTCGTCTGTGCGCCTGGGCGCGGGGGCACACAGAGGACCCACGGGGAAGGCCTTGCGAGGAACCATGACCCGGGCGGTGGTGAGAGCGGGCGTGGGCAATGGGGCGCCTGGGTGCAGCCTTTGGTGTGTGCTTTCCCCTCCCGCGCTGTGGCCGGGAGGCCCGTAGCCCTGTTGGGTGGCTTCCTGCTGCGCTCTCAGCAGCATTTGAGCCAGGTCTCCCGAGCTGCTTGTGTCACCTTCGGTCCTGTAGGTGGGGAGGGGATCTAACCTGCCCTGGGCACCTGCGTGGCATGTGCTGGCTGCTGAGACAGGGATCATTCCCATCATACGGGTTAGGAAACTGAGGTCCAGAAAGGTGAAGTTACTGCCCCAAGTATAATAACACACTTGATATGGAGCAGAACTGGTCTGGGTTTTTTTCTGACACTTGTGTTAAGACCAGTGTCCATTACTGAGTAACAAGTGAGTGAGTACCTATTGCTATGAAGTATTTTTATCTGGAAGTTCTTTTTTTCTCTTTGCACCTCACTGGCGTGTTCATTTGTTTTGGTTTATTTCAACTTACTAATTAATTTTTAAAATCTTATATATGTATACTTTGTTTCCAAGCCTGCTATTTTATGTTGTTTTCAATTTTGAATGAAGAATTATATTAGGACCTTAAATCAGAATTCTAAGCAGTTAACATTCAGTGAAGGCCTACTGTGTGTCGCGAAGGTTGTGGCTTGCCAGGGCTGGCTGTGCAGGGAAACGAGACACAGCCCCCGGCCCCAGAGTGCAAGGCCCGTCAGGGGAAACAGGCTCATCGTGGTGGCAGGCGTAGAGGCGAGGGCCATGTTAGCAGTGGCTGCTGGATCCAGGGGAACATGAAGGGAAGAAAACTGCGCTCTCGGTGGTTCAGGCAGTGATGGGACCCTAAGACAGAAGGGAAGGCCTTCCATGGTCTGAAAGCACAAGTAGCTTCAGGGGCTTGAGAGCATGACCCCTTGGCTGTTGATTGCTACTTGCCGGTGGGGAGCAGGTCGGTCTGTACCCAGCCGTCCGTCTGCTGGGCAGGAGGCTGGTGGTTGAGGGTTGACTTGGACTTGCGCTGCCTAGGAGTTGTGGACCGTTGCCTTTCTTTGCTCATAGAGCTGGCACAGCGTTTAACTTACCCAGTTGTTGGTCTTGTTTAAGACAGACTGGAGATTGGGATGTTGGCTGTAATTTATCCACTAACCATATGCTAAAAGGCGTAAAGGAAAAGGTAGGATGGCAGGGGCGGAGATGAAAGGGTTCTTGAAGACATCAACTTTCTGATTCTTAGAAGCTAAAGAAATACGTGAGTACAAATTTAGGTTCCTAATGATTTGTCTTTGTTTTTTCATCCTTTCTACTTAAAGTGAATATTCAGAGTTGAGGTCTCTTAAAACAGGGGTCCCCACCCCCCGGGCCGTGGGACCGGTACCAGTCCGTGGCCTGTTAGGAGCCGGGCCGCACAGCAGGACACTTGAGCGGCGGGTGAGCGAGCGAAGCTTCATCTGCTTCCCATCCCTCACGTCACCGCCTGGACCATCCCCCAGCCCCAGCCCCGGTCCAGGGAAAAATTGTCTTCCACGAAACTGGTCCCCGGTGCCAAAAAGGTTGGGGACTGCTGTCTTAAAAGAACACAGGAAGAGAAAGGATATGCCCCTCTTCCATATAAATCACACCCAAGTCCCCGCAAGCAGTTACGCTACGTGATGTTGGCAGGCCCGGCGGTCTGTGAATGGACAGTCTGTGGGTAGCCTAGACACCGTGATCCGTGTTTGTTTACACTCTGGACACCCAAGAATGGAATGGGGATGAGTGGGTCAGACACGGCGGTGGAGGGCCTAGAGGAAACTGCCCAGTGGGTCTGAGAGTAGTGAGGGTGTTCCTGGCAGGGCCTGGCTGAGGATGGTTGCAGGGAGCAGAGTTGGGAAGAAGACGATGCAGGAGGGGCTTTGCGGGGGTTCCTCCTCTTTGCCTGAAATAGGAGGGAAAGA